CTCTGTCTCTGACTGGGGATCCTTCTGACATCAGAGTCAATAACATGTGTGAAGTGCCAGGTAGAGGACATTAAGCAGTTTGTATCTTGCTGTTACTAAAGAGGATGTTGCCTCTGGGAAGGCTTGGTCTGCTCATCACCTATGGGAGAAGCTGATGCCTTTTGAGCTATGATCTATAAGGAACTGCTGAACAGAAAGGAGCTGGTGCCTTCTCCTTGCCCAGGTCCCAGGGAGTGGTGGGGCTGGTCCTGTTTGAGTGTGGCCTGTGAGTGGGAGGCACTAACTGCCCTGAAGGCAATATACCCAGCAGCAGAAGGTGTTGGGATGTTCTAGTTAGCATGACACTTACAGGCTTTTGTTCAGTTTCTTCCTGCTCTGTTTTACTTCTTCCTTTTTCAAACAGGCTCTGTCTCGATCATGGTTTAATGCATTTAATTTCTCTTTGGTTTCAAGTGCCAGCCCTCGAGGTCTGTGCTGAACTTGTTTCTTCACTTACATCTTTTGGTTTTCTTGGCCATTTGAAGATGGGGAATTTAATTTGCTTCGACGGCTTCTCTCTTTCTGACTTCTCTCCCTGGGTAGAGATGCTCATGCCCTTGGATTCTCCTAGCTTCTCTGCTGGTGCAGTGTGGGGTCTGGGTGATGTACCCTTTCCAGGCTTTTCACTTTTCCTCCCTCTTCAGCATTATTTTCCCCATTTTTTCTACTTCCCTGGAGGGGGTCATAGTTCTAGTGAGCACTGAGACATCCATAGTTGCTGCCTCTGTCTCTGATGTGCATGGCCTTGATGGCGAGCTGATTAACGCTCTCTGAAGGGGCAAGTATATTTTCAAATATAGCTGTATACAAATAAAATGTATCCCCTTACTGTGACAGGGGGGAAAGCCTGAAATATCCATATCTGCCTCTTTGAGGCAGATACCTCTTTCCTCTCACCACTTCATACCTCTTTCCTCTCACCTCCTTTCACCTTTTAGGCATTAGTGCTTCCAATCCCTTCCAGCCATTAGAAGAGTAGGCTCTTCAGTGCTTTCACCAGACGTTAGAGAGCAGACTCCCCTCCACTGACCTGGCAGGCATTTTCCTGGGTATGGTCCACATTAGCATGGGCTGTCTACACTGGCGAGACGTTAGAGCATAAACAAGTGCCTCTCTCCTGCTACTCAGACATTAGGTCATAGTTTCTCCTTATCCTGTCTCTGTATCAGGGCTACAGACTCTTCTTCCTTCTTGTTAAGAGGTTATCTTTCTGAAGCCCTTAAAAGCTTCTTCACTGGCAGAAGCTCAGGTCCTTGCTAGGGATTTCCCCTGAGGGTCAGAAGATTCTACTAATCTTAACTGTATTATGAGGTGTGATCATAATCCTGGTCAAGTCTTTGCAACTTTTTCACCTGGAAAATGAGAAAGAAACTGTGCAATATTTCTCTTGTATAAAGTGCCTTGAGACCTGTAGAGGCCTGACCTGTACTTTCCAGGCAGTGGCATTGAGGCTGTGGTGTCACTAATGCTTCTGAGAAGCAGTGATCTGTGAAATGGCATCTGAGAATGATTTCTAGGAGGAAAGATTTCAGTGACCTCTTGCATATGTCACCCCTGAATCCAAGGCCTTGGTAGATCCTCCAAAGATTCACAGATTCAAGGGTGACAGAGAAGAGTGTGCTGACCTAGCCCAGTGCCATGGGTTCAGTTTTGGCCAATAGCAGCTGCTTCTGCAGAAAGTGCAATTAAGCCTGACATTGAAAGCTAATAGTAAACCTGCTCTTAGAGGTATATCTTAACAGACTTCAGGAGTTACAGGTTGGATCATTCCCTAAGGCCAGAGTTATATTGTTCCCTGAAAATATCTTTTTCTTTTAAAAAAAATCACCTCAATAATTCTAAATTATTTCACTAGCCATATCCATTAACATTAAGTCTATTCTCCAGATATGGCCTCAGGTGCATCTTGGAGCAGAGTTCTATAGGTTGCACGTAAGATTGCTAGTATTTAGAGGGTAGCTTTCAATGTAAAATAATCTGGAACTGGGAAAGCCAAGTTAAAATGTAATTGTGGTCATTAATCAGGAAGCTTAACAATACCACATCGCTTGTTTGACCAATTCCAACCAATCAACAGCACACAATGAAAGGATGCAGCCAAACACTATGCAAAAGCTAAAAAAAAAAAAGCTTGAAAAATGTCACTAAGTAAATTCAAATAGTGCATAAATTAAAGGGAATTGCAACTGGCTCATGGATATTCTATGAGCAGAAGATAAACATCTAAGTTAGTTGCATAAATTATTCATCATAACGTATTTGCTCAGCTTTTCTCATCAGCTATGAAAGCCACACAGCCAAGCATTTGGAGAGTATAGTAGAACTGGGCTTTCACCTCAATGAAATGCCCTAGGAGGAGGAAGCCCTGGGGAGGGATGGCATGCATAAAGATCTCTGTGGAAAAAGTCTCCTTCACTATGATATTTTAGATGTGGATTCTGCTAAGGGCTTGTCTACTGCATGAATGATCCCTTGGCAGCAGGCAAGGTTGAAGATATGGCAATGATTTCTTCTAAACTCTTCCTTTTGCCTCCTGCCAATGGTGTCATGAGTTGGTGTAGAACTTGATGTAAATAAAATGAATCCACTTTCCCTTTGAACACACTGTTTACCAAATTTTCATTCTCTGTTCCTACCTTCTCTCATCTTTACTGCCCACTGCAGTGGTCTTTGCTTTGGAATAGGTAACTTGACTATAACAAAAGCAAACCTTCTGTACTTTGTCAGGGAATATGAAGTATTCCCCCAGCGCTTTCTGAAAGTGTGCTGGTTCTGGAGGGTTCTAGTCCCTCCTGATTTTATGGATAATGCTTTCAGGAAGCAGTAATCTGAGAGCAAAAGTGTGCTTGAGTTTTACAGGAAGTACTAATTGTCTCGTTGGAGAAGAAGCACAGATGGCACTTTTGATGTGCTTGCTAGTTATGATCTTTCTGATAGGAACATGGGAATGTGTTTATTATAAAACCTTGCCTGTCTTTTAGCATCCAGATCTGCATCTTCCCATGCAGTGTGACTGCTAAAGGGACCATTCCTTCTTCATCCAAAGGGAATTTCCTTGTATAGTGAGATTTGGGATTGTCACTCTAATCAGAAATTATTAGAGCAACCTCTAATGTCAGAGAGAAGTTGTTTGTTTTTACTTTTAAGGTTTTATCTATCATTAAGATGAACTGTGAGCCCTCCAAACATATCTCTTCTGCAGATACCAGGTATGGGACTTTTACACTGTTCTGGGACAGCAGATTAAAATCCTGTATTCTGCTCTGCACGGTGAATACATGGACACTGGTAATGCAGTCGTTATCTGCAGACAACTTTGGAGCCAATGGTCTATGTTTTCTGCACTCTTGGTATTAAGATTCTGGTGTATGGGGCTTTTTGCATTGAGTTTGGGGTTATTTTGGCCTTTTGATGGAGGTGTTTCTAGAAAAGACCAATGTTTCTGCAGATTTTAAGGTTTGACACTAATGACTCTTAGGATGTGGTAAGAGGGGTGTTTTGTTTTGGCATTTTTACTTGGCTTGTGAAAACCTAGGAGCAACAAAGGGGGCATTAGCTCAGGTGTAAAGAGATGTTTTGAAGTAAAAAGCCGGCACTTTGCTATTTTAATGAATGCAAATGCTGTTAGGCAGCCTGGGGTGTTGAGATGGGGCGCAATCAAAATAAATACATGCATAATTGCATTAAGTAAAATAACCTTACACACATAAAGTGGACTGAGTGTAGAATCAGCCTGGGAAGAAAAAAAAAAAAATCTAGTTTGTGATTATGGCTTTGCAGCTGACTTACAGCATCTCCTAAATCTGCCTGTACGTCAGGTTCTCTGCCAGTGAAGTGGGATTGCTGGTGCTGGCTGACACACACTGATAAAAGGTGCCATGTCAGTCCCAGGTATTGTCATTCCTATTATTTAAATGAAATTTTTGTCTTAAACTCAAGTTACAGGAATAAGTGAATGAAAAGTGACAGAGAATCCTGTGACTCGATTATGTGGGAGATGGCTTAAGACAGTGCAGGTGCATTGTAGGAGAGTTGTTCTAAAAAAAAAATATCTTTTCCTTTTAAGAAGGCCTTGCTCAATATTTTCTAAAAGACATTAATAGGTTTCTCACCTTCTAGGTGCTCAGCTGGTGATATATTTCAGAGGCTTGATTTTTAGATTGCAGGTGCGCAAGGTTTTCTCTAGGCATTTCCCTCTGTGTCTTTTTGAAACAGATACCTGCAATAAAGTGCTGCTTTTGCAAACATTAACTTTATTTTTTTTTTCCCCCTGTTGCTATCAGTTTAAAGGAAGGGATTTGAAAATCACTTTATAGGCTTTTAAGAAAAAGAAAGAAAACCAAAGCAAACCTCTGTTTTCATCCTGGCCTCTGCTTATATCTGAACTGATCCTTTTAGATGGTTTATCAAGCATATTGTTTTTCAAAATGGTCTTTTGCTGTTCTCCCTGGTGCTGAAAGATTACAATGTTTGGAGAAAGCATGTTTCCTTCAGTCTTGCTTTGCAAAAGCAGTAGCTACAAGGAAATTTTGTGGACGTGGGGACATAGCAATGATAGGACTAGTCTGGATCTACAGTCTGTCTAACTGACCAGCTCTTTTGCTGACAGAAACCAGAATTTGCTGCTTTATGGAGAAGTGTAAGACCCCGAAGTGTGTGAGGGTGAAAGGACCAGGCTGCTTTCTTTGTAGGGAA